CCTTTTTTCAGAGTGATTATTAATTATGAGTTATGATTATTCTCATGATTCCTTTAATCAGTATCACATTTTTATAAGCTACAGCTCTCACTGATATATAGATTTTGTTACCAGTTAGTTCTTGTATTCCCTTGATAGCTTTGTTCTACAACTTATCTCCCCCCCTCATTTTTCAGCTGGCCCTAGATTAATTTCTTCCCCTGTATCATTTGTCTTTGCAGGGTTTTTCACCTGAACTTGTTTCCCATTCAGGAGAAGCATGCCAACAGGAGCTGGTTATAGTTTTAGCATTTCAGCTTACTTCTGGTAGTCATTCCTTTCAAAATGGCCATCAGTTTATGTTTCTTCACCTGCTTATCCTCAACATGACCAACTTTTACTTACTTCTTTTTGCCCTGCAGTTTAGCCAAACATAGATATAGACAAGGGTGGGTCATCTTGGCCCACCCAATGACCTATCAGTTTTGGATGACTCTCCCATTTGGACTGTAGGGAAGGGTCATTGTGGATAATGGGTTCATCTGAGAGACCCTTGGCCTTGTAATTCTTGGGTTTCACAGATCTTTCAGTCTGGTCTTAATGTCTTTTTCTTCTGATCAGTACTCTCAAATTCTGAATCAGGAGGTCTCAAATCTCCTTCAGAAAGGAGCAATCTATATCATTTGTCACATTTCCTCAGGTTTTTATTTTCATATCTTTGTGGTTCTGTGCATGGCTGTAACTACCTATGAGCACACTGAAGTCATTTCACACAAACTCACACAGATATATATATATATATGTACAATTGAAAGTTATATCTTGAAAGCCAAGTTTGACCTTGGTCAATAATGGCTGTGGTTATGGTGATGATTCTGCGTATATATGGAGTTTGGAGACCTTTTCTATTTCATCTTTTCCTGGAGACACCTTATTTTGCTATGAATATTTCGTAGTCATTCCCATTGGATTATGTTAATGGATATGTATAGGAATCATTATCTTTATATTTCTATTCATCCATCACTCCATCTTTTAGATATCAGGGGTGATAAGCCCACTGCCCTTCCCTTTGTCTTGGCTCATTCACAACTGTAATTCTCTTTTGGTGCCAGCACAGTACTTTGAATCAACACTTTTCACATTCATACTATTCTGTCTTCCTCATCTGCTGCCTAAGACAACCTTTCTGCTATGGGGATAATGGTTTCAATTCACAGAGTCATTCCCTCAGGGGATGCTCATATGTGACACCTCCAGTTTGATCTTGTTGTCAATGGTATCTTTCTTCAGACTTGTTATCTGCAACTCTTATAAAATACTTTCAAATTTGACTCAATTATTTTTCTCTTTTTTCTATCTCATACAGGTCTGCATCTGTTCACAGATGCCTCTCTTAAGGGTTGAGATGCTGTCTTAGAGGAATATTGTATTTTGGGGTCCTTGCCTCTGTGAATTAGTATCTTGCCTCAGTCGTTTTGATCTTTAGGCAGTTTAACATACTTATCAACAATTTCTACCTTTTACACACCACTACTGTGTTTTAGTTCATTTAGACAATTCTGTAGTGTTGGCATATATCAACAATCGGGGAGGAATTCAATCTTGCAAGCTTTGTTTTGTGGCAATCTGTTCATCTATGGTTCCATTCACGTCATATCTATCTCTAAACCTGTCATGTGCCAGATGTTATGAACATTCTTGCATGTTCCTTTTCCAGAGATTATTTGCAGAACCATACAGAGTGAACCCTTCATCTCTCAGTTCTTCAGTGGTTGTGCCAATAGCTTGGTCATCTTATGTTAGATGCTTTTGCAAAAGCAGATATCCATCTTTTTCATCCTTACTGGACTCCATTTCCAGACCCCACTTCTTTAGTGATGGATGTTTTGAGTCAGTCTAGGTAGAATATTTTTATTTGTGAATACCCTCCTCTTCATCTTCTTCCTTTGTTATTGGATCAGTTCATCAAAATGACAAGTTCTCCATATTGCTCGACTTCTGCTTACTCAACAATGGTTTCCTCTTTCACTTCTTCTTTGAAGACATTTTTTACACCATCCTCAAATAAACATATTCCACAATAACTTTGAATTATAGCTCATTGTATAGCTGTTGTGTGGTGCTTTATTAGCAAAGCCAATTTCTCTTCTTGAGTTGCTCAAATGTTCTCAAATTATTGCCAACATTTATTCCTAGCTGTTTATCAATCTTTCTTATCTAGATTCAGGAGGTGATGCATTAGAAAGTCTGTTTCTTGTCTTCTCCATCTTTGTAACAGGTGGCCTCATATTTGTCCCCACTTTTTAACAGATCTTTTTCTATCCTTTTGTTCACTTCATCCACGAGTCTCTAGATTCTGTTCTCAGTGGGACTTAGGTCATGTCTTAAAATGTTTTGCTTTTATTTTTTTTGAATCTTCAGCAAGTTGCTTGCTATACCATCTGTCATGGAAAATATATTTTCTTGTGTTGCTAGCATTAGGTAAGAGAAGATCTGATGTTCCTTTAATGCTTCTCATACTTTTTTTTTTTTCTTAGGAAAGTTCTATACTTATATCTTGATAGATCTATCCTACCAAGGACTTGAGCTAAGAGTGAAGATAACCACTGTTTTCACACCATATGACCCAGATTCTTATTCTGAAAGATGCTATGTTTGTCCTGTCAAGGCTGTTTGTTGGTATATTGTACAAACATGATCTTTCAGAAGGGCTCAAAAAAAGTTATTTATGCCTTACAACAAATTTCACTCCATCTATGGTAATGGCTTGTGCAGCTGGTCTACCTATCAACTGTGATATACTCAAACATCCTAGAAGTGAAATTTTGGTTATGTCTAATGAATTGGCAATGGCTTTAATTTCACTGTCTCATTACCTATTAGAGGATATCTTACAGGTTGGCATGTGGAAGAATTCAAATGCATATCTAAAATTCTATTTCCATCACTTTGCTGTCTCTTCAGCTTATGGATTTTGTTTGCCACTTTTGGTTATTCTCCAAACCAGATAGAATCCATAACAGGTAAGTTATTTTCTATTACCTGCTTACTTACTTATGATGCGTAAAGCAATCCAGGTATTTATATACTGTCCAACACTCTTTTAACAATTACATGGGTTTCTGGGGTCAAGAAGTCATTCGATTGAACAGTACTAGAAAAGGGACATTCTGTGTTTTTATACAGCTTGGAATTTTACAGGATATTTCTACCTTGATTTGTCCTTTTCTTATATGAATAGTTTGCAGTTTCTCCTTATCTGAGGAGATTCTGCATTTCTCTGAATTCCTCCAGTCAGAATTCTTGCATGCTATTTAAATTTCTATGTTTGTCCTCAATGTAATTTCACCCTTTGTGCTGGTGCTTCATGGAAAAATAGATAAGAATATGAATAAATATAGAGAATGATACTCTCTGAAAGTAAACAGAGAATTCCATTTGGTGGCTGATGCCTTGGCAGATATCTTAACTATGTGCATTACTTGCATAGTATTACAGATGGGATTCTTGTTCTCAACAGAAGTCTCATAGTTCAAATGAGAATGAGGATCATCTACATTTTCTTTCTGTTTTCTTTGATGTTCCCATTGCACTCTCCTTTTGTTGTTGAGTCCCATTTTTGGGACAACTTAGATCTTCATTCGATTCTCCAGAAAGTATGTACACTAATAATTTTTGGCTGGTCTCCTCCCACAATAACCTTCCACCATAGTGATTGATGGTGAAGAGATACCCTACTGAGAAGAATGCTTTCTGTCTCAGTTTCCTTAGGTCCAGTTTTTATATAAGGCTGGTTTGCTTCACTCACTTTTCCTTGAATCCATTTCATCAGATACTTGTGATTCTGGATTCTGCTTTGACTGTGATTAACAATTGTTGGTGTGATCTAGGTTATCACATTCCTGCCTCGTGACAGGTTGTGGTTGTTGACAGTGTAGGAACAACTCAACCAAGAAAAGCTTTTTAAACTCCCTTCTCCCCATTTTCCACCTCCTTTTCAATGTGGTTATTTTGGTTTTCAGTATTTCTGAGGTAAGTCTACTTGATTTTAATTTTTATGTTTTTAGGATTAAAATGATTTTTGAATAGGTATTTACCTCTGAAATACATTTCCACTTACCTATCTACAACTGGGCAATAAACAGTTTTTTCTCACAACTGTAACTAAGAAAGCTCAATTATGATGTGAAAGCAATATATCAAATGGTGAGTGGAGAATTCTGGGTAATTGACACATTCTCTGCCTTCAAGGATATTTAGAATTTTGAATCATATGATTGTTGAAACATAGGAGCAACTCAAAAAGGAAAAATGTTAAGTATTTCAGAGTTATGTACTTATTTGAAATTCATTTTAAACCTAAAAATTTGAAATTTTGTCCATTGGTCACTGACATTAAGTAACCTTGCTAATATCCTCTTGGGCAGTTTGTTCTAAGTATAAACATATCATGATTTTTAAGAATTACTCAAGTAAAATATATTGTAAAACATCTAGAATGTTCCATCAGGTTAACTTTAGCATCATCTTTAGTAGTTGTTTAGATTTTTCTGCTCCATTTATGGATAGTGTTTATGAAATATTCCCCCCATTTACACACGTTTGAGGAATTTGATAAAGGGATAGGATTTTATATCATTTGCTGGAATTGATGTTATTACTAGCACTTTACAACAACTTGAATTCTGTTAGTTCACATATTGTCTGTGTACAACAACATTTAGTTGAAAATCTGAAAACAAGCCCACAATAACATATCTTCTTGGCTTTACCAATGGTGTATTCAGTTTTTAGACATATTAATTAATTTTGTTGCTACACATCTTTAGATACACAAATTCAAACTCATACTTAGCATAAGCTGTAGTATTAACTAATAACATCTACTAATATGATGCAATTTTTATTGTTAAGATGTTACTTTGTTTCAAATTTTTGAAGTGATTCATTTAATATTACTGTGGTCATGAAATTTTCACATGCTTACCAATTATTTGACGTTTTTACATATTTTTTAGCAACTGTGTTTGGAAGTATTCTCCTCCGAGCTCCTCCTAATGATGATCTAGATATTAATCTACCAGGAGTACGAAGGAATCAACAGCTTGCAGACAGAAAAAAAGCCACTTTTGTCTATCATTTTTTAATGAATGACTGGTGAATAATGTATATATATGTATGTATTTCATAAATGTGTAGATATAAATATTTAAAAATAAGAAAACATGCAAAGTAGCTTGGTTGGTGTAGTTCTGATACATGTAGGTTCTAAAAGTATATGTTGTATGTTTCTTTGTTTTATGATTGTTATTTTAAAAAAGTTTTGCAATTCAAAGTATAAGTTGAACTGAGTGCTGTCCATAATTAAACTGACTTTTTTATTCTGTTTCATAAAAGACTAGAGACTACCAATTCCACTAAATGTTGATAGATGGCCATAGTGTATACAGGCCTTTGAATTACAGCAATGAAGCTAAAACACCTGTACTGTATATTCCTATATGACTTTGCTCAGTTACTTTTTTTTTCATATTGAGGGAGTAATGATTAAATTTATTGAGATTTTTAAAAGTAGCCATGGAATTTATATATAATGTATTTTATGTTTTGTAATAGTAAATGGATATTTAGATTTACTAACTCTGAAGAAAAAGTCCACGAAAGACAGTATTGGT